AGACAGGCGCTTGTGCCTCTGGGCTACATGCCTGCCTCTGCCTGTGTGATTTATGTCTATTTCTATCATCAGAATGTTGGGTCCACCAGGGGAGGGACCCTGTCTCCATTCCCCAGTGTCCCCGTGCCAGGCGCAGGGCCAGGCAGCTGAGTGAGCGCTGTGTCCCCCCGCCCCTGCTCCATGTGAGGCAGGTACGAGCACCTGGTGAACCTTCTGACCAAGATCCTGAACCAGCGGCCCGAGGACCCCTTGTCTATCCTGGAGTCTATGAACCGCACCACGCAGTGGGAGTGGTTCCACCGCAAGATGGACACGCTACGGGATGACCCCGAGATGCAGTCCACCTACGAGATGGCGGAGAAGCAGAGGGGGCTGTTCATCCAGGGCGGCGGAGATCGTGAGCAGGACATGGAGGAGGAGGTGGTGAGTGGGCTGGTGGGGCCGTGGGCGGCGGCGGTGTTAGGGCGCATGTGGGCTGAACCCAGCAACTGTAGGGACTTCTGTCTTAGTTTGTGTGCAACTCACTGAGAGTGTGGGGCCGGGCTGGAGATGGTTTGGACACCAGGCCAAGGGACTCAGGCTTTCTTCTGTGGCCACTGGGGTACATGGAAGGCATAGGAACAGGAAAAGCTGATCTGCTCTGCCTATTTTGGAAAGTGGTCACCTTGGGGACCTGGTGGTGCACTCCTGTAATCCCAGCACTCTGGGCGGCTGAGGCAGGAGGATTATAAATTTGAGACCAGCCTGGGTTAAATAGTGGAGCCATCCATCTCAAAATAAAAGTCCCCCCCCCCCCGTGAGGTGGCACCCCACACACCTGCTATCTCACTACTGCAGAGGCTAACGCAGGAGGATCCCTGCACGTCTGAAGCCAGCCTGAGCTACATCATGAGTTCAAAGCTAACCTGAGCTACACAGGGAGACCCTCTCTCAAAACAAACAAACAAACAGCCCCTGCACAGTGTATGTCTGGGTCACACTTCTCCGCTTTGGGGGTTGTCCAGAGCCCTGCGCTCATCAGTCATGTGGGAACCCCGGGTGACGGCGGGGCTACTGTGACACGGGCTTCCACTATCGCAGAGGAGGAAAAGGAGGGCATAGCTAACCTTCCGTGGATTCTTGCAGCCTCCGTCCTTCTCACTTCAGAGAAGTGGGCTCAGTCAGAGAAGTGAAGCGGCCCCCCCTGGGTTCAGCGGGTGGGGGCAGGGAGGTCTCATCTCCCTGCACAGGACTTCAAACATTTGTGAACAGCAGTGTAGCTAAGAGAGCAAGAAAGAAGATGAAATAAATTGTTTATTTTAGCTCTGTGCTCAAAAATTGAGGTTTTTT